AAGAAATTTAACTGATTAATAAGGCAGACGGACAGTGATTCCGCTGAGTGTAACCTAGTCAGTGATTTCGTCCTCCCGAAGAGCGAATATTTTTCCACTGCACGACTTACTGGATATTCCACCTGACGATGGAGTTTGGAGAAAGGAAGAGGAGAAGGAAGTCGCAGAGCTTTAAACTGGTCACGGATGGAGGTAAGCTGCTGAATGAATGCAAGACCTTGCAAGACGCGCGTCTGTGTCTGGGTGTTTGTCTGGCGCTGTGCGCCAGCAGAGACGACTCTGTAAACAAAAGCGATAGCCACGACAATGCCCAGTCTGTGCCTCGGTTTTAACCAGCAGCTAACTATAGGGATTCACATCTTGCATGTAAAAGAAAATAAAAGAAACATCCTAGACATCAGTCTTAACGCGGCTCATTCCGGTTAGATTTTTAAGACTGAATTAAGTAAGCAAATTGAATAAAATGTGAAAATATGTTGCGCACTCTGAGCTCGTAACAAGGAGCTTCAACTGTGCACTTTTTGCTTAACCTGTAAAGAACACACCACCTCTCTTGACTACACTACTTCATACCACCTACAGGTGGTGGTTTTTGCATGGGATGGGGTGGGGGTGAGGTGGAGGGTTCTGCTTTGGTAGGCATCGCAGCTCATTAGCCCGCACAAGCTTCAACCTTACAAGGCAAAAAGGCCGCAAAATCATCCTGTGACATCTGTCACCAAGGTTTTGTGGCGTTTCTTTACAGCTTTGCTTCATAACGAAACCATTCAGTTTTTTTTCTTTGCAGATTTAGAGCCTTCATATGTGATTAACTCCAGCTCCAAAGATGCCAATGGGGAGCCAAAGGATGGTGCTATGCCTGATGGTATGTGCCATTTAGAGAATGAATTTTGATTATATATCATACAAAATATCGGTAATTACATGAGCACCATTCTCTCTTAATGTAGCTTGGCTGGAGGATGAGGGCATGGAGATCAAAAGGCAAATCACAGGAATGATGAGGCTTCTGAGCGATAAGACCAGCAGAGTATACCAGCGTGCTGGTACAGAGCAGGATAGCTTAACAAAGGAGCCCCAGGAAAAGCCTCTGAACTGGATAAATCAGCCTGAACTTTTATCTCTGGTGTCAGAGGACCACCAGAGCAACAGCTGGAACTCTGCAGAGGACCCAGGGCCTTCACCTTCATCCATATCCATCCCAGTTCCAAACAGCCCAGGCTGTGGCCAGTACAGCACACGCTCCAGAGCCCTCAGGATTCTCAACAGCACAAAGGGTTTAATCAAAGTGAATGAAACTAATGGTAGGATATCGGTGCACGTTTGAAAGGAGAAAAATACTAAACACATTTTAAGTTATTTGAAGAATAGTGAATTTCATTAAATATTGAGTGATGAACACCAGCAATGGCTTACACCTTTGTTGTTACATTAAAGCATGTTTGCACCTGTGTGCATATGTTAGAGTGAACAAGCGCTAACAAATGCATCCCTCATTTCCCAGCAGATGTAGTTCCTCCTACTGTGCCAGAAACCCCCTGCTGTATGTGTAACTGTAAGGGCACCTTGCAGGCTATTCTGCAGGAACTACGTGCCATGAGGAGGTTGATGCAGAATCAAAAAGGTTAGTAAATGAACACCAATACACACTCTAAAATAAGGAGATAAACACAATATAATGTTTTTCTGCCTTTTAATAGCATCTTTAGAAAAGCAGGAAAGGGCAGCATCGCTGTCTCAACCTCGCCTAGGTGCAGGACCCAGTCCTCGCCACAGGCCTCGAAAGAGGAGGCCAATCTATAGGATGGCTCCGCTATCTGTGTTTAGCACCAGAAGAGCTGGTCTTGCTCCTCTGGATGCATCACTGCTAAAAGCTGCACCTGTGGAATCTGTAAAGAAGCGAGAATGTGGGAAACAAGACTCATCTACAACCAACAATCATCCCACCTCCTCTGACATTCCTGTGCCACCACCTCAGACCAACCCAGTGACGGTCAACAACACATCTCCTCTCCTGAACCAACTAAGGGAATCGCAAGCATTAGAGGTAATCTTTACCTTAGTGTGGATGTACGTATGCAGCAACATGTGTGCTTACCAAGCCTCATTTGCACGCTTAATTTGATTCAGGTGCACTGCACCTGTCTTGTGAATTTGAACGTGTATGTGTATTTGCATGTAAAAACAATTTGCAGCCTAAACGTTGCTTCTTTTGTGAAGCTCCATGCCTAAAAAAAGTACCTTGATTTTTCCTTGTTTTTTGCCTAATGAGACATAAACCTTTGTGCAAACATCCTTGCGGTTTATTTTACAGCACATCTATGATTCGAGCTAACGCTAGAAATGAAGATAACGTCTTCTCGCTTTTTCTTTCTAAAAACTCATTTATATTTCAACTGGTGATATTTATTTAATGCTTTACAATTAACACTCTGTGTTGCTTGACTCCTTCACAGTCTGAGGTGCGTCTTGCAGAGGATTATGACGTGTTTATCTCAAAGGCCCAGCTAGACTCCATTCTGGTCAACTATACACGCTCAGGCAGCCTGCTGTTCCGGAAACTGGTGCACGTCTATGATTTTTAAAAGCGTTTTCTCTGTCACTCTGATTATTTTATAATCGTGTGAAATGTGAACAAAGAACAAAAATGCTGCATGGTCAAGAGCTGTGCTGTGTGTTTAGGTGTGTGCCTTCTTTGATGACGCCACGCTGGCTAACTCCTTGCCAAATGGCAAAAGGAAGAGAGGGCTAAATGATAACCGTAAGGGCTTGGACCAGAACATTGTGGGTGCCATTAAAGGTAGGGCAGAGAAAGACAAACTAAAGTGTAACTACATTTCTGAACAAACGTTAATGTAACTATGGTGTGTGTCCAGTTTTTACAGAGAAATACTGCACTGAACACAAAATAGAGAAGTTGCCTGGGCCACGAGACTGGGTTCAGATCCTCCAAGATCAGATCAAACTTGCAAGGAGGAGGCTGAAAAGAGGTTCTGCTGCTAAATCATTTAAACCATTTTAATATTTTCCCTTGATTAAGGTGCTAGAGGAAGCCCATTGCTTTTGCAATACTTGTAAGCCAGCTCATTTCAAGGCTAAAGAAAAGGCCGTCTGTCAATCTATGTTGTCTTTGGCTCTTCAGATGCCGTAGAAGCAGAAGACATCTCAAATGGACCATCCACAAGTATTAAACTCATTATTATGATTTTTACACTTATGGGTGTCTGCCACACGTGGGCACACACACATCACACATACATTAATTCAGTTGTCTGTTTTGACCATTTTCTGGTAGCTGGTTCCCTTCATGTCAGCCCTCCATCTTACAAAATCTTTCCATCAGCCCCCCTCTGAGTACACAATGGCTTTACCTCTCCCCACATCATTGTCACAGCACACACACACACACAAGCTGGTGTTGCCAGCTCTCTCATTGGCTCATCGGTCTTTGTCATGCTGTCACAGTGACTTTTGACATTTTCATGCAGCTTTCCAAAATGTCAGCTAATTATCCTCACACCATGCCGCATATCCACTCTTTCACCTCTATATTTCACCCTCATTGTCACAATAGCATTTTATTTTGTTGCCATGTTCATTCATTAAGACATCTTTTTGGTGATAATATATATATCATTTTGACAATATTTTCTTCCTTCTTTTAAAGGCTGTGATAATAAACAGGCTGCAAGTGAAGAGAGGATAGCAGCGAACACAACTGGTTAATCCAATGGCTGCCACGATGGCCTTACAGTAGAGTCTTGTCTTCATTATTTCTCTGAGTTGATGCATTTCCCACTATTTGCAGCTGTTAACTGCTATGTGCTATGAATGTAAAGAGACATAAAATAGGACCAAACAAGAATTCCAATGTAGCATTTGTGATCCAAACGGCTTTTCATTGGGGCCCCATTAAAATGCTGAGATTTGGAATTTTGTGAAAATAAACACTGAACTATATAGTGGTTAGATAATGAGATCGGTCACTTACTGTTTACATAAAAGACAACAGCCTTAAGAGCTAACTTGTTTTGTTTCCATGCAATGAAATAAAGATCAAACATCTCAAATGAGACTAAGTACTATTACACTATTGCGTTCATTTATTTAGCAAAAACTAAACTTCACGGGAAGCTGTTCATTGTGAATTGTGCCTTTCAAGTAACTTTAGTGGGTTTAATGTGCAGTGCAGCATCCACCTTATATCCAGACATTACATCCAAATGCAAACATCTTGTAAACATGGTCCGATGTATTTCTTTTTGGGGCAAATTTTAGTTCATTAAAAAAATTTGCAAATTAACAATAGGTTTGCAGTCTACATTTGGTGAAAATATAAAAATATATCGCACACTATAAATGTTTTTTTTTTCTTTATTAGATTTTTAGGCTATGCATACCACTGCAGTTGGTGTCAATATTGTGATGACATTATGTATTTTCCTTTCATTTTTGCAAACTGTACATATATTTAAAAAATAAGGTTGATCCCACCATTAAATTTACTTTATCCAAAGTTGCTGTTCGTGTGTTTTTTTTTTTTATATTGTGTAAAGTATAATTAACAAAACAAAGCACTCAAATATGTTAAAAGAAAAGTTTCAAATGTAGGCTAATTGTTATCAAAACACAAGCTAAAAATGATAAAATAAAAGTTATTTCATCTTTTATTAGGGTAACTTCGAGCCAGGCAATGTTGTGTTGCTGTAGTCGCACTTGGAGGGAAACAGTAAATTAAAGGTACACTCCATTGTTGAGATTTTGTTGCCAGACTTCACAGCTCATTAAAGGGGATGTTGAAGCCGCCAGTGTGCAGAAGGAGGACCCTTTGAGATCTGGTTAGTTTCCTTCTTGCATTCTAATTCACACATTTTTATAAAGGTGAGCAGAGGTTGGATACATTTTTTTTAAACACAATATGCTTAATTACTCACGATACTTCGACAGTTTTATTCGCTTGGACCAATGTTAGAAGTCAAATATGTGTCACTTTTCGTCAGGCTTTCTCGCAGGACAGCCGTTTGTAGCCCCGGTGCATGCTGGTGCCTTCCCCGCTCTTCTGTCGGGATCCGCCGCTAACGTGAAGCTGGTAAGGATAAAATGGTCAGAGCAATTAAAGGGGAAATGTTGCAAGAATATACCTCCGCTTTGGTCCTAAAATCACATCTAGAGCAGTTGTAAACACTTCTATTGCACCGCAGCGTTACAAAGTTTGCACACGTAGCAGGTGCAGCGCGGTTTTATTCGTGTTGACGCTAATGTTGCACACATCGCATGGCGAGGGACAGGAAAGGGTTAATTTTTTCCGCCGCCGACATTTTTGTTCGGCGCTCTACGGCAACTTTTTAACGTACATGTGCTACGAGCTGACACTGCGACTCAACGCTACGCGTCACGTTTAGGTCGCAGTGTGCGTCTTATCTGTTTTTAGATGTGCAGCAGCTCTTGAAGTGGGTTGCTCATCGGCTCTTTGTTACACGGAGCTGTTCAACGGCTGCTGCATGGAGCAGCGTTTGCTAGCGAGAGCTAGCAGCAGCAGTAGCCAAAACTGCATTTTCAGCAAAACAAACAGACGTAGAGGGTGTAGCTGTCATTATCAACGCACGTGTCTTAAAGCTGAGCTGCCGACAGCGTGTTATGCCGCTCACATCACACGGAATCACTCACACATCATTACTTTTATTGTTAGCCTGTGCCCAGGGGTTGAATGAACTCGGGATCATTGCTTGTCTTGAACACTACCCCACTATACCAGTAACGGCCCCCTTCATCAGCTCACGCCGGTTTATGTTAAAAACCGAGATTATAAGTAACAACCGACTTGGACGGCGTTTCAGTTTTATCAACTTTGTGGAGCTTATTTTTGGGAACACAAAAGTTTATTATATTTTCAGTGATTGGAGAGTAGGGGGAGGGCTTTTAGGTGATGCCACATTCATTATTGTGCATTTCAATTTAAAGGTATCCGCCACCCCGTTGTCTTAAAAAAAGAATACAATAATTATCAAAACTAGTATTTAACAAATTAAAAAACATTTAATAACAACTGTGCATTAAAATCGCCATGTAGTTTTTTATTATTTATTTGTAAACTTGTTTCAATCACAAAAGACAACACACCTGCAATAATATCACACTGATCTTTGAGTCATGTTTATAGTGGTAATTTCTAATGTACTTAGGTGTTCCTAATATTTTGTCAACAGAGCTCTGGGACAAGATTTCTATCATTGCCGCAAAAGAGCTGCCAACCAGCAGACCGTTAATCTACAGTTATTTTGGTTGATTTATTCTTTCCAATGTTGCTCCTACAGATGTTGTACTTGTACTGATTCACTTGAAATGTTGCACAGATGTGATTGCACTGTTGTGTCGTGTCATTTGTGCAACTTAACATTTGCATGTATTTTCTTGAGACACCCAGACACTGTCTCTAATCACCAGTTTTATTTATTTTTCATAGTCATTGATGTGGTTCTAGTGGTGCGGACACAGAGCTTCTTCAGACATGTCTGTGAGGGAGTCTTTTAACCCTGAAAGCTATGAGCTGGACAAGAACTTCAGGCTCACACGGTTTGCTGAGCTCAAAGGCACAGGCTGCAAGGTTAGCTGTCCACAAAAAAATCTGCCTTGAATGTGTTATTTTCTTTGCACAGATTAGTGAGGAAATAATGCATCAAAATTGTGGCAATTTTCTCTAATCACAGGTCCCCCAAGATGTGTTACAGAAGCTGCTAGAAACCCTGCAAGAGAACCACTATCAAGAGGATGAACAGTTCCTGGGGGCGGTTATGCCTCGATTAGGTAATTCTTAAAATCATATAGCACATTAATGGCACTGCTAGCCCCCCACCCCCTTCTTTTTTTTAAGCATAGCAGCAAATACATGGTCACAGGTCAAAAGTGCAGACACTCTAAAATATTACATTAAGAGAGATATTCTTTATGAAGGCATTGGCATGGACACGTGTGTGATCCCCCTCCGGCATGGTGGCCTTTCTCTTGTCCAGACAACAGACTACATCTATCCCATTGTGGATGACCCTTACATGATGGTAAGGACCTTCCCTTCTTCATTAGCATTACTTTTCTGGTTTTCTTTCATTAAATTACTTTGCATACCAAACCTGTATGTGATTAATTTTCATGGTCTCTTTTCTATAGGGAAGAATTGCTTGTGCCAATGTTCTAAGTGACCTGTACGCCATGGGAGTTACTGAGTGTGACAACATGTTGATGCTTCTGGGAGTCAGCAACAAAATGTCAGAGAAAGTAAGACACATCTTGCTTAAGTAAAGGTACACTTGCTGGACACTTTACTAGTACCGGGTTAGACATCCTTTTGGCTTCGCAAATGTTTTAATTCTTTGAGATTCACCAAAGTGCTGAAATCATTTCTTTGGAGATTTTGGTCTATATTGACATGATGGCTTTACACAGTTGCTGCAGATTTGTTGGATGCACATCCAAAAATCCATCCAAATTTTGACCTTTATCATCCGAGTGTGGCACCACAAATTGAGACTTATCAGACAAGGCAACATTTTTCCAGCCTTCTATTGCCCTGTTTTGGTGAATTTGTGTAACTGTAGCCTCAATTACCTGTTCTTAGCTGACAGGAGTGGCATCCTGTGTGGTCTCCAGGTGCTCTGGTGTGTAGATGCCTTCAAGTTTGATGTGCTGTGTCTTCAGGGATGTGTCTGCAGACCTTGGTAGTAACAAGTGGTTATTAGAGTTACTGTTGTCTTCCTATCGGCTTGTAATGGTCTGGCGTTTCTTCTCCCATGTCTGACATCCAGTATTTGCTGGATAGTTTCTCCTTTTTGGACCATTTTCTGTACACCCTAGAGATGGTTACAAAGGAAAATCCCAGTAGATCAGCGGCTTCTGAAACGCTCAGACCACTAGCATCCATGCTATGTTCAAAGTTACTTAAATCAGCTTTTATCTTAAATCAGCCCATTCTGATGTTCAGTTTGAACTTCAGCAGGTTGTCTTGACTGTGCCTCCATGCTTAAATGCATTGAGTTGCTATCATGTGATTTGCATCAATGAGCAGTGGAACAGGTGTACGTAATAAAGTGACGGGTAATATATATTTTATGCAATAGCCCTAGTACTGAAATCATATTAGTTTGGGACGACTCTTATTATCATCAGTGCATTTAAAATGTCCCGAGCCTCGACTCTGACATTCTTCTGTGTTTACAGGAGAGAGACAAAGTCATGCCACTGGTCATCCAGGGATTCAAAGATGCATCAGAGGAGGCGGGGACGTCTGTAACAGGCGGTCAGACGGTGCTCAACCCCTGGGTAGTGATGGGAGGAGTTGCAACAACAGTTTGCCAGCCCAATGAGTTTATCATGTATGAATGAGTTCCTGCTGCATATTTGCTGTTTTTTGCTTCCTTAGGTGCTTTAAAACAAGCTTGACGATGCTGTGTCTGACGTTTTTCAGGCCAGACAATGCAGTGCCAGGAGATGTGTTGGTGTTGACCAAACCACTTGGAACACAAGTGGCAGTTGCAGTGCATCAGTGGCTAGATATTGTAAGTCTGCCAACTCGTTTCTGAATAATTTTGTTAAAAACCTGTTGTTTAATAATAACCAGTAATATCACTGCCTATTTATGCTTTCTTTGTGTCTCTGAAAAGCCTGAAAAATGGAACAAGATCAAGCTGGTGGTGACGCAGGAGGACGTAGAGCTGGCCTACCATGAAGCCATGATGAATATGGCTCGGCTCAACAGGACAGGCAAGACCATTAAGACCATGTGACCTTTTCTGCCTGCCTAAACTTTTGATTATTCTCAGTTCCATTTTAACAATAGCATTACCGAGTATGTGGTTCTAATGACTTTGTTTTCTCGTAATTAGTAATTATTTGTTAGTAAGAATGTAATGAGTATTATTACCCATTAGATTCTATTATATTACTAGTTGACTTTATTGCATCCAGATTACTTGAGTGTTTGCAGATTTTTGGCAATAAACAAATTGGTCATCATGATGCCTTTCTTACTGTCTTTTGCTTGCAGCTGCGGGTCTCATGCACACGTTCAATGCTCATGCAGCGACCGATATCACAGGGTTTGGCATCCTCGGCCACGCTCAGACGTTGGCACGACAACAACGAAGTGAGGTGTCTTTTGTCATCCACAACCTCCCAGTGCTCGCCAAGATGGCCGCCGTGTCTAAAGCCTGTGGGAACATGTTCGGGCTCATGCATGGCACCTGTCCTGAAACATCAGGTGTGTGCGTGTGTATTTTAATGTTTTCAAGACATTGAGATTTTACCAAGGAATTCATTGAGGAATGCAGTAAGTTCTGAAAAAGATCTTAGAAAATGAAAAAGTGTAACTAGAGGCAGCTCAACTGAATTTTATATGCCATCAGTAAAGAAAAGCCACGCCTCACCGTAACCGATTTTACAAAAGACTGTGGTTCTGTTATTATTAATCAGCTTCTTTCTCTTTGGGGAAAATTTGTTTGGGGATGTGAATTGAGAGTTTAATCTCCTAACAATTAGGTAGCTAAATAAGTAAAGCAGCAATAATAACAGACCATAATTGGTTGATGTTCGGGGAGAGAAGCAAGACATGTTATAAAAATTTTACATTTTGATGTTTTTTCTGATTGAAAGTCCTGAGAGTGTAACTATTATAGGTTGAAATTTGGCTGAGGTTCAGCTGTCCTTCTGATTTATCTTTTAAGCATATCAGACTTTATAGGCCATTCATTTCTTCAAGACAGTGTTGGAAGATGGCAAGCGTGTGTAATTGAGGCAGTTTGATGAAGGCGCGCATCTACAGTCACATAAGTGTCTTTGCTTAACTATGTGGAGATGTTACAGAAGCCGAAGAAGTTGTTAAATAATCTACAGGAACTTGAGCGCATCAGTTAAAAGATCTATCTTTGTGATTAGTTTATCTGCTTAATGTTTCATGCTGTGATCAACAATCTGCAGCAGAATTGATATCAAATCTGTTTTTACACATGCACTTTATGCATTAGAGCTGTGTTTTGTTTTTTTTTGTTTTTTTTTTTAAAAAGTCTGTTATATCCAGTTGGGCCCATGTGAGAATGGTGCACATCATGGAGAATTTACAGAAAGCCAGTGGATGTCATACTACCTGCAGGCAGTATTTCCAGTAGTGAGAACACCTCAGGCACCGATAATCTCCAGCTGTGTGCTACATGCAAGAAATGGCAAATTTGGACCTTGTGATTTTGTTCATGTATAAAAATGCCTTTAGAGTTATCTGTAAGAAGGCCGAGTACTCCCTAACAGTGTCATATTCTAAAAATGAGTGATTTAATTAGACTTAAATCTTCATTTAAGTCACTTGTCTGACAACATCTCCTTTCATTTCTAGGAGGCCTGCTTATTTGTTTACCTCGAGAACAAGCTGCCCGCTTCTGTGCCGAGATCAAATCCCCAAAATACGGAGAAGGTCATCAAGCATGGATCATCGGGATTGTAGAGAAAGGAAACCGCACTGCTCGCATCATTGACAAACCACGAATCATAGAAGTGGCACCACAGGCAGCCACACAGAATGTCAATCCAACACCTGGTGCAACTTCTTAAACCTCCTCTGTTGCATCACAGACCGGACCCCAAAAGCTCTGAGTGATTTTAGACACATAAACTACAGAACCATCCTAGAGTGTTGAAATATATACACAAATAGTATGTACACAGAAAAGACTGGGTTGGCGTGCCATCAACATGAAAACAGCTCCACACAGTGGCCCCGTGGGGGCACATCACTACCCAGTGGACTCAACCTGCAGTATCCCCGCGATAAAAATTGGTAAGAAATAGAGCATTCTTAAAATTCACTTGCTTTTGTTGTCTATTGTATTCTGTTATGTTCAGTGTGCTTGACTGGCAGGCAGCTTCTGATAGGAGATAATCTGATACTGCTGATTCATTTTGAATCATTAGGAAGTCTGGAGTCGGTTGCCTCTTTGGCTCTCTTAAAACTGCTCTCATCAAACCATGGTGGCGTTTTTGTTTATTGTTCATTTACTTTGTTGTACAGTTATACAGCTGAGTTTTAGTTCATTGTTGTAACTGATGCCTTGAAAGAAAATAAGTGCGACCAGAATGGCTTGTTTTTTATTACTTTGACTTTTTGTATTGTCCCTGCATAAACTAATAAACCATCATCTATTTGAAATTTGGTCTCACTTGTGTGGATAAACTAAATCAAATTGGCCATGTAGTTACAGTGTAGTTACAATATTGAACTAAAGTTTTATAAAAAACAGATACTTCTCTAAAGTGATTTCTTATTCAGTTATACATCATCGTGTGGTCATAGATACATTAATATCCGCAGAACCCTCAGGAGATGAACTGTAAACCATCTGCATTCTCATTATGTCATGTTTAACATAACACAAAATCTGAATATTATATGAAAAACTGCCTAAAACGTCATTGTTAGTCCACAAGTACAGGATCTTTTTTTTTTTTTTTTTTGTCCCTCATCATTGCCAGAGTATGTACGGCAAGAACGCTGATTTACAGTGAAGCTTCCAGCTGGTCAAAGGTCAGATAGCAGGGATAAATTGGGAAGCTCTCTGTAAAACTTCGGGAACATGTCAAAATCCCCCTTGCCCCCCCCTTGCCTCTTAAAATAAACTTCTCTAATAAAAAAAAGTTTTTCTGTGTCTGTTGTCAATGTATTTAAAAGCACAAGTACTCATTTTATTCTGTAATGAATATGGTAAATGGTAAATGGTCTGTATTTGTATAGCGCTTTTCTAGTCCCTAAGGAACCCAAAGCACTTTGCACAACCTGTCATCCACCTATTCACACACTGGTGACGGCAAGCTACATTGTAGCCACAGCCACCCTGGGGCGCACTGACAGAGGCGAGGCTGCTGGAC